AGCGTCTACAACAGCTACCCGAACGTGGGGCGCGTGCTGCGCCGCCGTGACCTGACGCTCGAGCAGCTGCGCCAGTTTAACGGCGTAGACAACCCGCGTAAGATCGTGTACGTGGCTGTTAACGGCAACATTTACGACGTGACACTGGACGGTCTCAACCACTACGGCCCCGAGGGCGGCTACAAGCAGTTCGCAGGCCGTGACTGCTCCCGCTCGCTCGCCTGCATGTCCTTCCTGGACGAGCATCTGGACAATCCGACACTCGAGGGCCTCACGGAGCAGCAGCAGGAGACGCTCAACAAGTGGGAGGACAAGTTCAAGGAGAAATACCCCGTCGTGGGCAAGGTCATCAAGTAGGAGTTGATGTCAGTGACACGCCACTAAAAAGGAGAGTTTATCTGTTCCTTGTCTTGGCAGTAGATTCTTCTCTTTCGTTGCTCGCTATGTTTAGTGCGGCAGGAAGCGACATGAGAGATCTATAAGACAATAAGCAGGCAGGTCCATGGGCAACGCAGTGGGCACGCCGCCAACGGGACCCAATTCATTGCTAAGCTCTGGCGGGAGACGAGGTAGTGCGTCGAAGGAGCCGTCGGGTCGTCGGCATTTCACTGTGGCAGAGCTCGCCACTTTCAATGAAGCGAACAAGCGGCTTATTTACATCTCGATTAAGAGCGACGTCTACGATGTGAGCTCCAGTCGAGACCTGTACGGATCCTCGGGTAAATATGCGGCGCTGGCGGGCAAAGACGTCACGCGGGCGGTCGCCTTGGGTAAATTGGAGGACGAAAAGGAACTGGCCAGCTTAGACTTGAGTGACTTGACACCGGAACAGTTCCAGACGCTGGACGAGTGGTTGGTCAAGTTCCACGACAAGAAATACCCGAACGTGGGGCGGCTGGTCGATACCGATCTGCGCCTCACGCTTGAGGAGCTCTTGGCCTTCAACGGGGTGGATAACCCGCGCCAGACTATTCTGGTTGCTGTCGACGGTGTGCTGTATGACGTGACGATGAACGGAGCCGAGTTCTACGGTCCCGACGGCATGTACGGCCAGTTCGCCGGTCGAGACGCTTCCAAAGCGTTGGCGTGCATGTCGCTCGAGGAGGAAGCTTTGGACAACCCGTCGAGCGCCGAACTCACTATGGAGCAGCGCAAGACACTGGACGACTGGATCAAGCGCTTCGAAGGCAAATACGCAGCCGTGGGGAAGACTGCAGGGAGGAAGTAAGACACGAGGATTCATCATAAGAATACATGCTCACCTTATGACCACAAACGGTTGACGTTGAACAAAGTCATCACCGCAAACGTTTACGCCTGGAGTTCTATGCCGCAATCAGGTGAAGTTTATCACCATCCTTGCGTGTATCAAACCACTCACATTCCAATTCACCTGGGGTAAGACACGATGAAGAACGTACGGGACAAAGTTCTTCAATTCATTTTTAAAGCGTTATTTAACCGAGGACATTCATGGAATTGTGTTTTGCTGTGTACAGGCTGGCGTGGTCTAGATGACGCTGCCGTAGCGCACCATCTCAAGCCTCTGTTTGTGGCGGCGCCAGAGGAAGACACCTCCACCCACCTCAATGACACCAACAATGATGAGAACGATGAGACCCGGCAGGAACGTCTTCACAAGTGTTAGCGTGCTCTTGAACGTATCCAGCACACTGTCTTTAGCTTCGCCGGCTTCCTGCACCCAGTACGTTGGCAACACCACCTCCGTCGGAAGCGTGGGCCACAGCACGTCGCTCATTGACGCGTTGGCCACGGA